ATAACTCAGATGAGGCGAGGTCCGATTGTGCATACAGAATACTGAAATTCATAAGAATGAACTTGAATGAGGTCACAATAGGACCATGAACGTTCAGGAAATTGATGTCCGAGGTGAGAAATTCTTTCACATCTTTGGTGAGAATTTGCATACATGTAGTTTGGAAGCCTATTTATAATTTTTCAGGTTGACCTTTAGAGTGTCGCAAATTGTTTTTGGAGTGCCTTATTGATAAAAGTTGGTGATTGGTGCAATTGATGGTATGAGACCTTTACACGGTTTCTGACGTCATCTTGCTTGGGGGCCAAATGCAGCTAAAATGGCAGTAAATGTGTGAGAAAAGTTAAAAGTGTGATGCCCGATAAGTTGAGAATGATTGACTTTCTGAGTATTTTTATGAGTTACAAAGAAAAGATATTCAGCAGAAAGGTTTCTTGGTCAAATTTGAAGAACATAGTAATCATATTTACTGCGAAGTGAAGAATTGCACGTTTTAAAATTTTCATACAAAATATGTCTCCAAGCCTGCAAATAATTTTTGTCTATAGGCAGGTCATTTGTCAGGACAAGGACAAGTTTTGGCCTGACAAAAAGCCAGTCTGGTCGGACAAAAAAAATTGTTTGTCGTTAGAAATCAAAAAGAGACATTTGAGATGTTTTGATATTTCAGTGTAAACTCTTCGCCAAAATATGGGTTGCAAATTTGAAAAGCTTAAAAGTCACACAAGCGTTTCCAACGTAACAAGTTTCCTACAACGTCTAAGGAAAACGGGAGAAGCGATGAAACAATCTCTCACATGAACGACTTGTCAGTATAAAACCTCACAATAACATTCAGAGACTTGAAAATTGGCTGAAAAGGAATTCTTCGACTTTTTCTGAAAGCAAGTTTCCTCTGAAAGTTTTCGGGGTCAATTGAATAAAAAATTTGCGTAATTATTCAAAGCGTGGAATTGGAGGTGTTCATGACCATAAAGCATGACTAATTTGTACATTCACGCTTTTCACAAAAACATATCTGTGGTACGGAATCTATATTTCAACCACATTGACAGACGTAAAAAAAAAACTATAAAGAGTTAAAATTTAAACTGATTTTTGATAATATGTACTAGAAAAATATTTGGTTATGTCTTAGAGGTTGTAAAGTTTTTGAAAGCAATTGCATTCAGATAAACGAAACGTGAGTATTTGGGCCGTGTATTCAATTTCCATAATATTTTCATCGGGTCGATGTATTACAACTGGAAATTAATTCCACAACACTTGGTGGTAATAAACAACAAGTAATTACATAAGACCTCAGTTTTTAGTAGTTTTTCAGATGAACGTAATTCAGACTAAATGGGGCTTCACAATCTTTCACAACACCACCGCAAAATGTGTAAGTTAACACGTAGGAATAGTGGTGCTGATGTGATGTGTTTACAATTCGACATAACATTTGAGACGACGCACTGCGTGTGATAAAATTCTCAGAATTGGAATAAAAACAAAACTGATAACAAAGCTTTTTTGCGTAGTATTGTGTGGCAGTATAACAAAATAACTTGTTCCATATTCGGCAACAGATTTTCAGTGAAAATATTTTTCACTTTAGTAGAAATGCCCGGTCAGAGTGTCCGACCAGGCTAAGCTTTTACCTGTCAAAACCTCAAATTTAACGGACAATAATTGTCCAATGACCGACTGTTATTTGCGGGCTTGTGTCTCTAAATTTTCTCATTAATTGTGACTCTGTTCTGCATTCCAATGTATGTAAAAATGAAAACCTTAATTGTGGCTTTTTCAGCAAGGTTATTTCTCTCAAATGCAATCAGTAAATTCTTTTCCCCAGTATCTTAAGCTTTTTATTCATAAATACGTCAGAACTAAAAATTTTCTGTGTGTTGTTAGACATTAGATTCACCATTTTCCCCATACATTTACAGTAATTTTTGCTGTGTTTATCCCCCAAATAAGATGGCATCAGCCTGGGGGTACTTCCAGAACAGTTGGAAGGGTGTGTGCAGCCCAATTCCCAAAATCCTTACCCTATTTATGACCAAAATCTGCGTTTTTTATGACTCTATTTATGACCTGACCAAAAATGTGATAGCCTATTTATGACTTACCGCTGACACAGTTTCCCTAAACATAAGTTATGAAGGGCCTTTGTTGACAGTCTTACTGATAATGATGAAGTAGCAGCTTCTTCTAAGAAACATACCCAATTCAAGACTAGAGTGTTAAAACCATACCCTATTTATAACCAAAATCGCCAAAATTGATACCCTATGTATGACCAAAACAGCTGAAAAACCCTACCCTTTGTGGCACATACTTACATGTGTATAGCCCATATAAGGGAGTCCCCCCCCCGAAAATCTCTATTGATAATAATCGAGAAACAGAACCAGACTGATATCTCAAATTGATGAAAATTGAAGATACAGGGAGGAGGTGTGGGCTTTGATTTTTGTCAACTTAAATCAATTGTCAAAAAAATGAAAGACTGAGGCCATTGCAACCAAATTCTTTCAAAAAATGTAAAAAGCATGCTAACATTCAGTTACGACCTGTTCTTACAATGTAAGTCTTGAATGTAAAAAAGGAAACTGAAAGCCTAATTGGTAGATATATGTTATAGGCTTGAAAACAACTTCTTGACCACTTCTCGTTAATAGTAACTGTTGAAACCCATGATATACATGTATCGACAATGTTCTCTTGCAAATCTTATCTGTAAGCAAATCCTTGCAAATCATTTACCAAGCCTCTTTTGACAGATGTAACCTCCATGGATATCACATAAGTGTGGCGATCTTGCATTAAATTACAAGTGATCATGTTATATTTTCCCCTGTTGACAGTCATGCAAAGAAGTCCAAAAAAGTGCATCCCAACTGCCAAAAAAGTTCTTGACAATGGCCAGTTAATCAAGGACTAAAAAACAGTGTATAAAAAGCCCCATTTTCAGTGTTAAAGGTCACTAATCTTGATCTATACTGTGCCACTGGTCTCTGTTTCCGTTTGGTTTCTGTTCTTTTGATATAATTATTTTGTTTGCATTATGTACACGTATTTATATGCTGCAATAAGCATTGTTAGGGATACAAATATTGCACCCTGCCCCCAAACAGCAGGTGTCGTATTACATCCCTACATCCCTATAATGGCCACCTCTTTGCAACGGTCACTTTCATCTGCCCCCAAGGTAAGTGTGGAAAGGTTTGGCTGTAGTAATATTTAGACTAGCAAGACATCCATATCTGCAAATGACATCTTTACAGGTTGATGTTTAGGAGGAAGTGTGGGGACAACAGCAATGACATTAGCCATGCAGACAAGAAGTGCATCAGACTTTCAAAGAGGTCTTCTCAGGAGATCTTGCCAAAATTCAACTTCAAGTCCAAGCAGTCCAGTAGTTGAAGCTGTTGACTTTTGTAGAAGTATACCAAGGCTTGTTGAGCTTGAAAAACGGCTGTATTGTCTGGCAAATGGTGATGGGAATTCACAGGAAGTGATGAAGACTTGCCAGTCACTGTTATCTGACTGTGACAGTGTAAATGGTATCTTCAATGTATTTTGTTCCTGCAGTTGGGTAGACAGATATCAGGATCCTGTTATCTCGCAACTCTTTTATGAACTTGTCAGCTCACATGCCACCAGTAATGGTACATTATTACTTACCGAACTGGAAACAGCCTGTGAAGAGTTGCTAAAAGTTCTAACTCATCTTGGAACTCCAAACACACTGCAATTTAATGTAGTTTCTCTGTTGTACAATCTAAGTAGATTAAGGTCCCTGCCATCCTCACACCAAGAAGCTGTACAAAGCTACTTAGAAGAAATTGCCAGGGCTCTGTGGCCCTATAGCAAGCCATCTGCTCCAAATCTGTGGGCCAATGAGGCATTTTGCGATGCTCAATGTGATATTCTGAAAGCGTGTGGCAAGTTTCTTGAGGAAAAGTGCCCTGTTAACACAGAAAGAACATTCCAAATGATCATTGGGAAACTGGTCTCTGGAGATGTTTCGAAGTACTCAAGGTTTCGGTTGTTAGAAATTAGGGAATTAAGGTCTTCTGGTTGGAAAGTTTCAGCAGCAACC